GGTGGGGCTTAAGGGAGAATATTAATTCTACCTCTTTCCCCTCTATGTTATCAGCCAAATGAATAATAGATACAAGAATCAGACAAATGAGGGTCAAAATATCAGTACAGTCATCCCTCGGTATACATGGAGATTGGTTCCAAGATCCCTGCGTATACCAAAATCCATGCATACCCAAGCCCCTCAACTGGCCCTGTGGAACCCATGTATATGAAGAGTTTTTTATACTCTATTCGCATGTGACTTTTTGTATATGTGTAAAGAACAGCATATAAGCGGGCTCTGCATCCCACAAATACCCTATTTTTGAACTGTTTAGTTGAAAAAAAACTGCACATAAGTGGACTTGTGCAGTTCAAACTCATGTTGCTCAAGGGTCAAATGTTACTTTGCTGATGAAGCTGTATCACGGTCAAAACTGGGCTTTCTAATACACTGTCTCCCCCACCCCTCCTAATTCCTGGTCTTGGATCTGGACTACCCAAAGAAAAACACACAGTGGAAATACTTACCTGGATAGCAGCAAGGAGCAGGGCTGCCCCAAAAGTAGGAACAGAGAGAGGTGTTCTTCAAACCTGCCTCTAGAAGGCAGGTCTGGGGCTCAGCAGGTGTGCTTACCCTATGGAAGCAGGATCTGAGTGAAGTGCATGCACACTGCAGGCAGGGAGGTGTAAAAGAGAGAACTTAAGTGTGTGTGTGTACAATGACCTCCCCTCCTTATGTCTCCATCAGAGAATACAATCATTTTTCCTTTGGGGAGAAGTGAGTAGAGGTAGAGATGGGGGTCACAAATGACATTCCAGAATGGTTCCCTGCTTGGAGAAGAACAGGGAAACAGGGACAAATGACATATTCTTGCCTCCACGGGTGGGGGCAAAGCCTGTATTCTTCACATCCTCCCAGCAGAAGCAGGGGATCCAACTCCCTCACACCCAAGGTCTGACCTAGAACTCATCCCCAGCCTCCAACCCATATTTCAGGAAGAGGTCTATGAATAGTTTCTGTTACTGGGTCATTCCTACATCAGAACTGGGGATGGCAGGGATGGGGCAAGGGCTCAGAGGTTCAATCTGACCCCAACCAACCCCCATATGTACTCACTCATTGAGCACCATCTGATTAACAAAAAGAAACCAAAGAAACACCAATAAAATTAGGAAGCCCTTTTCATGGCATTTCACTAACTACTCCTTGAGAACTCTCTGGTTGCTGGAGTGAAAAAGGTAACAACAATACTCAGACCAAGAAAGACCCACCTAAAAACCTTGTATCTGGCTACTCCAATGTATGTCCTGAGTATCTCCTTCCCCACCACCTGAAGATCTGGGAGGAGTCAGTTTTACCAATGAAAGACATGCCACATTGAGATTCTCGAGGCCATCCCCAGATAAAAGTCCCCAATGTACAAGAACCCAAATAAGGACACTATTTGGGAGCTTGAGAATCAAAAGTTATTTATCAACGGGTGATTGGAAAAGCCAAGCTTTCTTGAAACCAATTTCAGAATGGTTAGTGGAAATTCCTGTTAGTTTCTTTGGTCCACTTGCCCAGTGGCAGATCTTCAACTGAAAAGGACAAAGAGGAAACAGTAGTCTTCAATAGGACCCACAGTGCCCTAGCTATCCAGCCCTAGCTGAAGAGACAAACAGAGCAAAGAGAGGACTCCTTTCACCACCAAAAATCACTCTCACAATGGGGGCCTTCTCCTCCCACAGGTAACTCAACAGTCTTACCTTCCCTGCTTAGCCTTCATTGGGAAATACTGAACCTCTTCAGGGTCATAGGCCATACTCTTTGGGTCCTTTCTAAGGACCCCTCCCTCATTTAGTGTAGAAGCACTTAGTAGAGTCCCAATGCCATGTTTGTATCATTCACTGTCTTGAGGATGCTGGAATGCCCAGGACCAGAAAAAGAAGGGAATTCACACTGAAAATTAACCTAGCAGGTCCAAAGAGAAAGTCTCTCCTACGATGCCAAAAAGTTATTCTCACTTTATGTCAACATAGTGTGAAGGGAGGGAAAGTAACCTGTTAAGAAAAGGGCTTTTGGGTCAAACACAATAGGCAAAGGGTTCAATCAACATGTGAAGGTACATAGAAGCAATACAGAATACGGAGGGAGGGAGGGACTAAGGTCCCAGAGAGGAGGAAGAGATGGGGTAACCAAGTGTGAAGGAAAGAGTCACTTAGCAGGCCAGACACCTAAGTTCTAGTCATGGCTCTTCCCAGTAACCCAGCATATGACTTTGAGCTTATCTAGTCTTCAGTATCCTCATCTGCAAAATAGGGGAAAGCAGTTTGTTTAACCAGGTGCCTGTTAGGGTCCTATGAGATGACAGCATCTTCCCCAAATGTCAGTGACGGACGATTGCAAAATATTCAGGAGGGTGTCAGAGGGGATCTCCCAGGGCAGGAAGTGCCTTTCAGCCTCATCTCCAAAGAAAGGGTCACATATATACACATTCACACATACACAAGCAGAGTGGTCAATGATTTCATCCACAGCAGCAGAGACACATACAGAAAAAACAAATACTGTTGATGTCTGATTCCTTCTTATTGGGAGAGGGGCCCTGAGGATATAACTTGGAGGGACTATATGGTCAGAGGAGAAAGGTCCTCCTATTTGATAATACCTATCACCTCGCTACTCCTTCCTCAAATCCAAGGCAGCCAGCTCCTTGAAAGAAACCAGTCTGTTACCCTTCCCTCTCCCATCTACCAACTCACCTGTTTCAGAAACAAAAATCTGCAGACTCTGAGGGAAATAACCCCCTAGTTAGCCATTAGGAAATGAACAGAATCTACCACTCCTGAGATTACATAAGGTGGGGCAGCTGTGTCCACACGCCTCTATTTCCCTGAAAGTTATCAATGGTTATGAACGGGCTTGTTTTGGGCCCCGCCCAACCTTAAGGTCGCTTGAGTTTTCTCTCTGAGTGAAGAGAGAACTAGTCTGGACCACCCTTTTCTTTCTGGTGCCTTTACGGTTGTTTTCAAATTGTTTAACCAATCTCAGCGTGAGAGTGAGCCAGGAAGTTACCATCCTCAAGGAGGAATCGAAATGGGGAGAAGGGCTACGACGCAAGCGCAGGGTTCCAAATCATGCAATAGGACCTGCAAACAGACTCACACCCCAGACATCAAGAAGCATCTCCCAGCCACACATCTACATGGAGCTTATGTGGCCTCTCCTAGCAGAGGTAGCTGGGGCAATTGGGGGAGTGGAGGGCATTAGCCTCCCATCAACCTGGAATCCCTATTTAAAAGATGCTAAAAATAAATTAGTAAACATTGCTGTTTACAGAAATAGAAATCATTTCTGTTTCCAAAGGCCTCTCACCATCCCAGTCCTGGACATCTCCAAGACTGCCACCCCTGACACCCTCTCCAAGGTCCGCCCTGGTGGATGGGTGAGACACCAGAGTCCTTTGAGACTGGGAGCTCCTCAGGCATCTGAGAATTCCAGTTTCACATCCCTGGTTCCTGGGAGGGGAGAATCTTCAGTACTCCGGAGAGTACCGGAGTTCATCCCTTCTTATCAGTTCCCGGGGGGCTGTCTTGAGGCAAACCCCACTTTTAGGATGATATACGCGTTGCAAGAATTCCCGCTATTTTCCGGCCCCCAGTACCTCCCCAGAGTCCACATGTCTGCCTGGACCCACCCTCAAAGCAGAGGAACCAGTCTGTGCCTTGGTGTAATGACTCTGGGAAAGGGGGATGGGCAGAGAGAAGGCAGGGACAACCGCCAGGGGGATCATCCTTGAGGGTAAGACTGACAGCAATGACTGTCCTACAGGCAGGTGGTGAAGCTGGGCGCCGGGCCGGGGCCGGAGCCGGAGGCGGAGCTTTCCACCTCGCTGGCGAGTGGCGGGTCGACGCGGGGAGTGCGACGACGCCCCCGGTACTCGATCATATCTGGATGATAGGTTGGGTGGCGGCGAGCGTGTTTGGTCAGGTGGTCGCTCCGGGAGAACTGCTTGGGGCAGAGGGGGCAGGAGAAGCGCTTCTCGCCCGTGTGCGTCCTGTAGTGGCGGGCCAGCTCGTCGGAACGCGTAAACTTCTTGTCGCAGTCGAGCCAGTCGCAGGAGAAAGGACGCTCACCCGTGTGGGTACGCTGGTGAGACTTGAGGTGCGACGACTTGTAATAGGCTTTGGTGCAGCCCGGGAAGGGGCATTGGTGGCGCTTGGCAGCAGGTGTGACAGGCCTCCTCCGGGGCACCTGATCCGCGACGGGGGCGGGGCCGGCCCCTAGGGCCCCTCCAGAGACCCCACCAGAGGCTGCTGGTGCGCCCGGGGCGGCAGGCGCGCTCGGGACGGCGGGCGCACCGGAGGAGCTCTCGGGAGCGCAGACCGCCGCGGCGCCGGAGGCGGGAGCCAGCTCGGAGCACGGGGTCTGGACGGAGCACGGGATCGGGTCGGAGAAGCCGGACGAGGCGCGTGGAGCTTCCCCCGAATTCTCCCAGGAGCCCTCGCCAGAGCTGCCGCGCAAGTCCTCCCAAACGCCTGCAGCCAGCAGGTGGGGCGCGGCGCCGCCCGCGCCGGGGCTGGGGGCGGGGACCTGCGGGAGAGGGGGAACCGACGCGGGCCCCGGTGGCCCCGGACCCGGCAGAGAGGACTCCGGCGGCGCCGCACCCACCTCCGAGCCTGCGGCTCCGCCCGCACCCTCGGGGTCCGGCGGGCGGTGGTGAACCACGGCGCCCGCGGACATGGACACCAGGCACTCGGCGGCGAAGTAGTCCAGGCACGCCACGGCGGCCGACATGCTGGGACCGCCCGGCCGCCGGCTAGCGCCGTCCGAACGCGGCCGGCCGCGGGCTAGGGAGTTCCCCGGAGCGTCCGTCCCGCAGCCTCGGAGCGAGAAGCAGGAGGCCGGGTGCGCGCCGCCCGCAGCCCGCTGCCGCCGCCGCCGCCGCAGCAGCCGCTGCCGCCACCGCCCGCGCGGAGCCCGCCCCGCCTGACGCGCCCCTGACGCACCGGAGCCCGCGGGGGCGGCGGAGGCCCGCCCCGGCCCGCAGGACACCCCCTCGGAACGCGCGGCCCCCCGGCTAAGTCATGTTTAACAGCCTCAGAAATTATCTTGTCTCCGCGTTCTTTCTTCTGCCGGCGAGCCAGGTAATGGTAACGGAGCGAAACTCCCCGGTCGGAACTTCTGGGCTGCCGCGGCCTCGCCCCCCCTCCCCCCGGCTCGCCGTCCGCTGGTCCGTAGCCAGCTGGGTGTCCCGCGGAGTCCCAGAAAGTTTTTTTTTTTTTTTTTAAGGAAAAAAATGGCTAATACCTGACATGTCTTTCGGTTCATAATTGCGATTGTTAGCGAAGTGGTCTGGAGTTCCATTTCACTCCCCGTTCGCCGCTCTCAGGCTAAATTGCAAATATCCCCAAGTCTGTAGCAAAAAAAGTTTTCTCATTGAGCAGCTCAACTGTGAACCCGGGGGCCGGGAGCAGTTCCCTAAATAGATCCGCTACGTAGCCATTAATTAATAGCATCTCGAACCAGAAACAGTTTTAACCTTGGAAAAGCAAAGAATCCTCTCCCGGTTGAAATTGAAACTTAAAATCCTTTAGGTAACGATTTAACTGTTCAGCCAACGAAAGAAAAATGCATGTTTAAACTGCATTAACCTGTCACTGGCATCCAAACAAATTTAAACGCTGAAATATAAATTATAGTCTAGCGGCGAGATAAACACATTAAAATGGACTCCCACCATTTTAATAATAGAAAGTCACGTTTCCAATTAGGCAGTCTCCTGTAATTTGCTTTTGACAAAAGTTAAAAGTAAGGAAATGCAGCACATGATATAGAATGCTCATATGGTGTTTTGTGATTGTGGAGGTTTGCCTTTTTTATAATCAAATGCATGTACGGTTTCTTTTACGTGTCTTCATTGCTTTCATTTTTTCCCTCGTTTGTCTTTTAAAAAATGTAAAACCACATAGAAAAACAAACAGGATAATTTCTAAAAATAGTCATATCTTAGTTTTTGATGTATACAAGCTTTTATGAGTGAATTATGTGCATTTTATTTGTAGTTCTTAAGTACTTTTTCTTTTGAAAATTAATACGTATGCAGCAAGAATAACATACGTTCATGTATTTACTGCCTAGGATAATCAAATGTGAAATTTTTGTTATAGTTGTTTCGTGTTTTTATTTATATTAAACATTACAGGTAGAGTTGAATGTCACTTTATTTCCCTCCCCAGTCCCATTCACCTTTCTCCCTCTTCACTTTTCTAGGTAATTAGTATTATAAAGTGGCTATTTAATCTGCATTTGTTTTGATACCCTTATTACCTAATTATATATGTAAATATATGTATATACCCATGTTTATTTATTAAAATTTTTAAGTAAATGGTTCACTAGTATACATATCATTTTGCAACTTTTCTCCCTCAATATGATTGTGACAACTATCCAGGTTGACACCTATAGAATCTACTTTATTCATTTCAGCAGTTTTTAAATAATATTGTCAGTGTTACTATTTTTAAGGCGATTCCATTGCAAAACAGTTAATTTTTCTGAAGTTCCTCTAGACGATTAACTGTTCATTTGTCTACGCATTAAAATCTATCAGAGATAGAGTGATTTACTAGCTGTTTTGGTTTTATTATTTAGAAAAAATGTGAAGATGTTTAAAATGCAGAGAGAACATTACAAGCTCCCATATACCTGTCTCATATAATTAATATGTTAACATTTTGTCATGTTGCCCTCAGATCTATTAAGTATTCAACATTTCCGATAAAATTGAAGTTCCCCTTGTACTGCCCCCAATACCATTCTCCACCCTTTTCCCCAAAGGCAAACACTGACATGAATTTGGTATGTAACTTTCCAATCTGAGTTTTACACTTTAACTGGATGTGAACCTATAAAATGCAGAATATTGGTTTAAATGATTTTTTTAAATGTACAAACATGGTATTAGACTGTACATATTATTCTTGGACTTGTTTTTTTCCTTCATGGTGTGTTTTTATTTTTTCTCTTCGTGTTGATAAATGTAGATCCAGTTCATTCATTTTAATTGCTATATTGTAGATCCATGCATACAAATGTGTCCTGTTTATTCATTTCCCTATTGATGAATATTAAACTGCTGTCAATATTTTGGTACTACTTGTACATGTTTCCTTTGCACATATGTGAGAATTTCTCTATGTAGCTACCTAGATGGAGAGTTGCCGGGCTCCACACACATTTTCAGTTTTGTGAGAGACTGCCAAATGGTTCAATTTGCACAACCATCAGCAGTGTATGACAGTTCATGTTTCCCTCACATGATCTTGTTTAGATTCAGACTTTCATTATTCCTGCCAATTTGATTATTTTAAAAAACAGTATCTTGTTGTTTCATTTGAATTTCTCTCACTGCTAGTGAAATTAAGCATTTTTTTCCCATATGTTTATTGGTTATTGAGGTTTCCAAGTCTGAGATTTGTTTTTTCACAGTCCTCGTTCATTTTTTTCATTGGATCATGTATGTTTTATCTTTTTTCCTCCTGATTTGTAGGAATTCATGTGTATAAACATGAAATATATTGTCTCAGTCTGTGGCTTGTCTTTTAATTGCTTTTAATGTCTTTTGTACTATAGAAAATTTAAAATGTACTCATATTCATTGATCTTTTTCTTTATAGTGTCATTTGTGGATTATTAAAGAAACCTCTCCATACCTGATGCATAAAGGTAGCCTCTTATGTCTTCCTTAATGTTTTGAAGTTTTGCTTTCTACACATGAGATTGATCTATCTGGGACTTATTTTTTTTAATGGTGTAAAGTAGGAATTTAATAATTTTACTCCTCCCTTTTCCCCCAACCCCCATGTGGAAGGCGTGTGGTAACCTGGTTTACTGAACAGTCTTTTGTGTCCTTATTAGTGTGTAATGCCACCATGATTGTAAATTAAATTTCTATGTGTTCATGGATATGTTTCTAGTTTGTCCTTTTCCACTGATCAAACCAAATTTGACCCAAAACTACGATCTTAATTACTATGGCTTTGTAAATCTTGATGTGTAGAAGGGCATATCCTCTCTTTGTTCATTTAAAAAATTGTTAGGTAATGTACATATCATTTTGCAACTTGCTTTTCTCCCTCAATGTGATTTTGAGAGCCACCCATGTTGATAACTGTAGAATCTGCTTTGTTAATTTCATGAATGTATAGACTATTTTTGGACTTCTATTCTTTTATACTAACTTTAGCATTAGTTTGTCAAGTTGCATTGAAAAACTCTTCTGGTATTTTGCTTAGTTATATTTATAGGTTAAAATTGGGGCGCTATGACAACTTTAAAAATTGAGCCACCTAGTACATTAATATTATTCTGATTTTTAAATGTCTTTCAATAACATTTTATAATTTGCTTATAAAACTCTTATACCTCTTTGTTAGACTTCTTCCTATTGTACCTTACAGCTTTTGCTGATATTATAAGTGAGATTTCTTTTCTATTAAATGTTTAAATTGGTCATTGCTGCTACTGTCGTTGGTAGAGATCCTGTAGATTTTGCAATAACCTTAAGTGTTAGATAATGTTGGCAAACATGCTGAACTTATTAGTTTATTTGTAGATTCTCTTGTGTGTTCATGTAGATTATAATATTATCTATAAATAACACCCCTAATACATTTTTCTCTTTCTTATCTCCTTGGATGGGCTGGCACCTTCAGTATAACATCAAATAGTAAGGGTGAGTACAAGCATTGTTTTCCTATTTTTATCTCATTGAAAATGTTTCTCATGTGTCATAATTATGACATTTGTTGTAAGTCTTTGGTGGAAACCCTTTATCAGTTTCCTTCTATCCCATTTATGCTTAAAGTAGGAATATTGTTAAACCATGAAATGAATATTGAAATGTTGTTAAATGCTTTTTCTAAAAATACCGAGATGATTACAGGTTTTATCTTTGCTATGTTAATGTGACAGGTCATATTGATAGATATTTCTGATGTGAACCTCCCCTTGCTTTCCTGAGTTAAACCCTGCTTTGCCTTAATGTACTGTTATTTATTAATATAGTGCTTCATGTATTTTATTTTAGCATCTATGTTCATAAGTGACATTGGTTTAAAACTTTCCTTTCTTGCACTTTGTGCAAGAAGGAAAATGCATTTGGAAATTTCTTTCTTTTTTCTATATTCTGTGACAGTTTGGATGAGATAGGTATGATTTGTTCCTTGACTATTTGGTAAATCTCCTCTGTGAAACTATCATATTTTGAAAATTCAATTTAATTTCTCTAATGATTGTTGGTTTCTTTGGGTTTTCTACTTTTTCAATCAATTTTGATGATTCACATCTTTTTCCTAAAAAATTACATACTACATTTAAACCTTTAAAATGTTGGTATATGGTTCATGGTATTCTCTTTAAAAATTCTTTATGGTGTCTGTAGTTATATCCTATTTTTCATTATTGATGTCATATATTTGTGAATTCTCTATTTTTTCTTTTTTGTCTTAACAAAGATTTGTCTGTATATTTAGACAAACTTATAGAGGTTTATGTGTAGTCTTTACAAATAGGAAGATCATATATCTTCTTGTTGATCATATATCTGTTTCTTTTAAAATGTATATATTTGTTTAATATCTATATTTATTTTTATTAATCCCTCACTTACATTTTCATTGAGTTTAGCGTGTTATTCCTTAGCACCTTAAGTGCTTTTCAAGTTAAATACCTATCAATTAATTTCCAGTATTTCTTATTTTCTAATATATAATTAAGGGCTATAAATTTCCCTTCAAGAGAAATTTCGGTTGCTTTATCTGTATCCTGCAAGTTTTTAAAGTAGTGCTTTTATTGCCATTCAGTGCTAAATACTTTATAATTCCACTGTGATTTCTGAAATATGAAATTTTTGGAAGGGTGCTGTCCCCGGATTTCCCTGGCATTGTATCACTTGAACTATTCTGTAACCAGCGCTCATTGTGTAACCTCTCAGGAATTGGGTCTAGAAATATAATTGGGGATTATTTGAAAAGGAAAGTAGAATAAGGGTAATTTTTTAATGCAGCATATATTGTGGCCTTGAAGTAAATGTTACCAAAATGTTATCTCTCCCAAGCCCATTCAGAAGCTTCCAGGAACGACATCAAAGAGATGTTCCTGAAGGCCTTGAACAGCTGACTGGTCTATTCCTTTGGTCACAAGTAGTTCAGGGCATGTACATAGTAGGGGTTACATAAATATAGTAGAAGAGATGAGTAGGAATATACAAGCTGACAGATTACTATTACCATTCATTTATGATTATTCATCCCAGACATTCAACATTCCTAGAAATACTGCACACCTGTTTGCATCTGTTGCCAGTTTCCTTCCCGCCTTTTGGCAAAAGCTAGTCTGTTCTAGTTCTAGCTCCATTGTCTCTTGCTTTCTCATGATTCACAATCCATAACATACCTTTTCTCTCTCCAATATCATCTGTGTTTTCTTCTGTACAGAATAATTTGAATCAACATTCAATAATGGATTAATACCTTCAGTTAAAAAATACCCCTGTATCTCTCTCGACTCTCCTTTCTCTTCTAGCTACTGCCACATAGCTAGGTTGCCCATGAAAGCCAAATTTCTGAAGTGCTGAATATGTTCTGTCACCACTTCCTTACCCCCATGGATTATTAAGTTTGCTTCAATATCGAGCCCTCACTTTGCTACAGAAATTCTTGTCAGGATCAACATTGATGCACCACACAATGTAAATGTCCTTAACACTACTGAACTGTACATTTAAAAATGGGTAAAGTGAGAAATTTTTTATTATACATACTTTAATTTTCAAAGCTTTCTTTTCTCAAAAGGAGAACAAAATTAACATTGACCCCCTTGTTGCTAAATTCAATCCTCAAATAACTAGAACTCTCAGAGCAGTTGAGCAATCCTTGAAACATTCTCATCTTTTGGCTTCTGTGATACTACATTCTTTTGGGCTTTCTTCATCTTTCTAACTGTTCCTTAACAGTTTAAGTCTTAATTACTCATTCCACCTCTTTACCTAATCTCTAAAATTTAAACTTCTACAGAACTCTATCCTAGGTTTTCTTCTCTCAATTCTACCCACTCTCTCTAGGTAATTTTAAACATTTTCCATGATTTAAGTACGCCTGTATCCCAAGAACTTATAAATTTTATAATCTTTAGCCCAGATCTCTTTTCCAGAGATGTCAGGGAGTCTTAACTACTTGACAGCTCCCTAGCCTTCCTGGAATGTCTCATTGATATTTCAAACAGTAGATTAAAAAGTCAAATTCTACCCCTAATCTACTCTTACTGTATTCTTCCCTGTCTCAGTACACAGCACTTTCATCTATTCCTGCTCCTTAAACCAGGAAACTGGGGTCATTCTTGACAGTTCCCTCTCCATCAGCCCCCACATTTAATTAACCTTCAAGTTTGGTTATTCTGCTTTGAAAATGTGTCTTGACCATCTCTTTTCTCATTTTTTCCTGCCAGTACCCTAACCCAAATCAACGTCAGCTTTTGGTCAAACTATCTTAATACTGGGTTCCCTTAACTAGTTCCACTACTTCACTCTTGCTCCATTCCAGCGTCTTCCCCATATAGTTGCTGCATGATGAAGTTATCAGAACCTTCCTATCACAGTTAAGACAAATTCAAAATGACGGGCAATGATCTGGCTCCTATACACCTTTCTATACGACCTCCTACTCAGTCACTGTATTCCAGCTTACATTGGCCTTTGAAAACACTAGTTCCTCGAACGCTCACACTGTAAAATCTTTGCATATGCTACTCCTTAAACCTAAACTGCTCTTGCCTTCACTTTTTGCCTTAATAATTCCTATGCATCATTCATCCATTTTCACTTCCTCTGAGAATCCCAACACCCATAATCTAAACTGTGTCCCTTCTTTTACACAGGCATTCATTGATTTAACAAATATTTATTGGATGCCTGTTCTTCACCTAGCATCGTTTTAGGCACTGGTGATAGAGCAGTGAACAAAGCAGTTTCTGCCCTCATGGAGCTTACATCCTGGTGAGAGAGCCTGATAACAAGCAAGTAAGTAAATTCATAGTATTTCAGATATTCAGTGACAGATGCTATGGAGAACAATAAAACAGGGGCAGTGAGATAGCAAGTTCTGAAAGGGGATATTTTATGTGCGGGGGTTAGGCAAGACCGTTCTGATGTGGTGAACTGAAGGGAGTAGTCTTAGAGAAATCTAAGAGAAAAATAGGAAGTGCGAAAGTTTTGAAGCATGAAGTATGTGGGGTGCTGGGCAGCTTAGAGGCTTGTACTAGTTTTCTACAGCTGCTGTAACAAATTACTTAGTGGCCTAAAACACAAAAATTCCGTTTCTCACAGTTCTTTAGTTCAGAAGTCCAAAATCAGTCTCACTGGCTAAAATCAAGAGGTCAACAGGACTATATTCTTTGCAGATCCTGGGTGAGAATTCGTTTCCTTGCCCTTTTCTAGCTTCTAGAAGTAGCTGTCTCCTGGACCCCTTCCTTCCTCTGTAAAGGCAGCAATGATGGGTGGAATCATTCTCTGATTTGCGTAAATCTGATCTACTCTTCTCCCTCTTATTTCTGCTAGTAAGAACCCTTCTGATTGCATTGGTCCCACTTGAATCCAATATAATCTCCCCATCTCAAGATCAGCTAATTAGTAGCTTTTATTCATTCCATCTGAGTTCTGGGTATTAGGATCTGGACATCTGTGGGGAACTATTATTCTGTCTAGCACAGGGAAGGGAAGCATGAGTTCAGGGACTGGGTTGAGTGGGAGGCAGGTCATGTAGGGCCCTGTAAACAATGTGGAGAGGAAGATGGGAAGTCTTAAGGAGGATTAATTCACCTTGGTTGCTGTGTGGCTAGTAGACTCAATGGCAAACAAGAGTGGAAGCAGGAGACCAGTTAATATGCCACTGCAGAAATCCAAGACAAAGATGATGGTGGTTTAGACCAGTGAAGGTGGTGAGGTGTGGTCAGATCCGGGATGTTGTTTGGAGCTAGAGTGAGAGATATCTGCTAAGGTGTTGGATGTAGGGTATAAGAGAACGTGAGGATTCATGAATGACTGCAAGGATTTCAGCCCAGTAACTGGAAGAATATGCTTTCTATTTTGAGATGGGGATGGCTTTAGATGAAGCAGGATATAGGAGGTGGAAATTGGGAGTTTGCTTTTGGAAACTTGGAGATAGGGAAGCTGAGTTGGCTCTTGGATCTGAGTCAGATGCTTTTTTTTTTTTTTTTTTTTGAGACAGAGTCTCACCATGTTGCCCAGGCTGGTCTTCAACTAGGCTCAAATGATCCTCCTGCCTCAGCCTCCTGAGTAGCCAGGATAGTCTGATATTTTTATAGTTCAGTGAAGTCCAGCTACATCCCTGACTGGGCAACAGGATAAAAGGGATTTTTTAAAGCTACGTATTTTTATATGTATGTTTCTGGAGAACAGGAATTCTAACTCTCAGTAGAGTTTTTCAAAATGCCATATATAATCGTTTGTTTAATAGTTTTTTAGTATAATGATCATAAGATGTTATCTAAATATAATTAAAACTGCTTGTTTTGTGTCAAACTATAAAAACAAAGATTTATATTCTAGGAAATCTAATCATTTAATATCTAATTTTTTAAAGTTTAATTTCCATTCTTGATAAAACCTCTATGTTCTTAGCTGTCAGGTTTCTTCTAGATCCGCTGAACTTCTTTCCT